CCAAAGTGCGTGCAACTGAATTGCAACTCAAACAACCAGCTTGAGCTTCTCCAAGTGACAACGAACTTCAAACGTGTGAGCAAAATCACGTCCTCAAGTGAACAAGGACAATGCACTGCATCTGACACATATTGGCTCGCTTCAACGCTCTCTTAACTACCCACCTTTGATGCTCTCATGTTGCAATCTCCGTGAATGAGATGCTTTAGGTGTGCTTTATCGAAAACACGTTGCAGACTGGAGTGGGTGAATGTTCTTGAATGGTTTCCGCTACGCCATTGGGTTGTAAATGTACCTTCAATCCACATAATATCAATGCAGTTAGTCCCTGAGATGTAGCAACAGTGGTGTGTCAACTCATTTTATGTTCAGTCGTCCCCTCTGTTCTTCTTCTACACCTTGCTTTAAATTGGTGGTCCAATCTCCCCGAATCCAAAACCAATCGTCAACGACTGCGATGGACGCAGTACATTTGGCCTATATGTTCTTTCCAAAAGCCAAGGACTTTAACTGGGAAATGATGCTTGCAGAATGAAGCTTATAAGTGTGTGTAGCAACATGGTCTTCTTACCCCTTGAGTGTCGTGTAGTCATTAGTTTTCCTTGAAAGTGGAAAACGAGAGTGGAAAGAGCAAAACTCCTCTGAAATAGGCAACCAACCAACGTCAAACGCGCATTTAAATTAGAATCAAAACAGTTACGTAATGGCATTGACTTATCGATAACAATTATGATCCACGACACATGTCCTTAGTCAAATTTCTACACCACATACAACGAAGTAACCTTCTCAATTCAATAGAGGATTATAAACGAGCAAAATCCGAAGCAATTGATGCTATAAAGGAATTGAATTTAAAGGCAAAGGACTCACTAAATGCAAATGCACCATTCTTGAAAACTTTATCCGAGTTTGCTTTGCAAAATTATGAACGAGTTCAACAAAAACAACCGGTGTCAGTAAAACTACTTTGGCTAGCATCAAAGGCAGGAGACACCTTTTTTTTCCCCGTTATTGATTTCGGTGAAGAAATTTCATCAGCATCCAGCATATTCATAGAAGATGATTGCAGTGCCATTAACGAGGATGAAAGTACATCAGCCATTGAGGTTCCTTTGGGAATGGATGTGAGATTTGAAGCAGTTGCTACAACACACTGGCAAGAGAATAAGGATCACTTGCTTAACTTATTTCAGGATTTATTGACTAACTGTTCATTTGTGTCATCTTATCTCGCCTTAACAAGTGTGGGGTTTTCTACTTACTCGCTCATATCTCCACATAGTACATCAAAAGTATACAAAGTGGCATTAACGTTCAACGGATCGAAACGACTTGTGGATGTGGGTGATCGATTGCCTCGTATTGTTGACTCCAACAGAAATTTGATATTGAAGTCATTCACCGATCTCCACTTGTACTGGCCTGCATTGATTGAAAAGGCGTATTTACAAGTCATGGGTCATGGATACTGCTTCAAAGGTTCGAATATGGCTAACGATACCTATATGTTGAGTGGATGGTTACCAGAAGTTGTCAAGTTATCGACTAATCGACTGCTAAGCATTCTTGCACAATTATGGCAAATGCGAACACGTAATCAAGTGACACTAGGAATTGGAACTGAAAGTTTTAGTGATGAGTTTAGCTCCTCAATAGGTTTGACTGGTGAACATGATTATGTTATTGAAGATTTTGATGGAAAATGCATCACCTTGAAAAATCCATGGGTTACTGATGATATATCCACAAGACTCGTTAAAGTTGACAGCTTGACCCATTTCAAATATTTATACATCAATTGGAAACCAAGGTCGGATTCGGAGATATTTCAGGAGATTTTCATCTACACTTTGAAGGAGGACCACATAGTCGATCAACCACAATTCACAATTGAATGCGACAAAGAGACCTGGTTACTTCTTGAAAAACACTTGCCAGTAGATGAAAACCACTGGATGAGGATAAATGTTTACAAATCCAGAAATAAGGTTGTATCTCCTTTTGACAACGACGAGCACTCCGTTTTTGAAACAAATAACCGGCTTCAATTGATAAAATTACCCCCTGGTATATACACCTTGGTCATATGGTCTAATAATCCGGGTCGGTACTCACTAGCTTCGTACGGAACCCCCTTGTACAGACTGGTGCACCAGTTTCCTCATCTACAATTAATCCATGGTGAATGGGTAAATGAGACCTGCGGTGGCAACTGGACCGTGGCGTCATACATCAACAATCCTCACTATGATCTCAACATTACCAAACCCACAACAATAAAGCTTGTTCTTAATGCAAATGCACTAGTCAATTTCGATATCTTCTTTGCTGATAAATTGAAACCGGGACAACGTATTCGAAGTTACAACAAGACCAAATGTCTTTCGGTAGACAAATATTCTCAAGACTACCAGTCCAAGCTATTGGAACTTGAACGCGGGTTGTACAAGATTGTTGTATCCAATTTTGATGGCTCACCAACCAAGTTGAAATTATTGTTGAATTCAAGCGAAGCAGTATCAATAGATAAAATCCCATCAACAATGTCTCTATATTCCATACATCATACTTTTTATTGGAACCAAAAAAATAGATACAAGTTGTTCTTCAAGACCAGTGTTTACAACACGTCAATTATTGTCAAGGTTCGGCATACAGACGACGAGAATGCATTGTATGGTCGACAAACTGATTACCGACCTGCATTGAGGGCGTCAATTTTCAATGCTGCTACAAAGGAGCCAGTTCAGATTAATCAAGAGTTTCGAGACGATTGCTTGTATGGGTTATTTGTTGAGGAAACACTTTTGGAGCCCGGTGAATACATTTTGCTAATTGAAAGATTCGAAATTGGCAAAGGGAGATGCGACGTTGTCTTGGGGAGTGACCAAAGAATGACTTTATTATAGCATGTAGACATCTGTAATGATCTGACCATGGACGATTTTCATGTAAATACACCCTGTTACTGAGTCTAACCTTCTCTTGTGTAGCATACTCTTACTCTTGTGTATACGTGGTAGCGTATTGTTCTTTTTTTTTTTTGACAGTCTGTTTAGTTTGAATGTAATTTTTCCGCGTGTAGTTCCAAGACACTCAGTTTTTTTTTTATTTTTCAACGATTTACTTTGTTTAGACCAACACCAACTTTTGACAACAATTGTTCATAAATTTTCCAGGACTGCCTCCACCCTTCACACCCAGAAATGAGAAGCTTGTCAGTACTAGTGCTTACATTTATCTGTGCAATTGTGCATTGTGGCCTCACAAACGATCAACTACTCAAAAAAGTTCATAGTTCCAAGCACAAAGTTTTGACATTGAATGACGAAAACTATGAAAGCATTTTAAATGGGCCAAGAGACTATCACGTTGTGGCTCTTTTATCCTCAAATTCGCCTCAAATCAACTGTGTTTTGTGTCATCAAATATCTCCCGAGTTCGAAATTGTTGCTGATTCATGGGTGAAAGACCATGCAAAGGGAATCACAATTGAACAAGAGGAGGAGGAGTCTGAGGCAGCGGCAACCAGTAATAGCAAAGATCACCAAAAAATTGAAGCTAAGAACATTTATTTCTTTAAATCGGAATTTGCTGAATCCAAGAAATTGTTTTCCCTCTTTGAATTAAACACAATTCCCAAGATCTTCCACTTCAAACCAACCAAAGCTTTGGGCCCTAGAAATTTCCTTCGTGAGAAACAAGAGTACCAGTTCTTCCAAGGTGATCACAAGACATTAATGCTAAATTGGGTGCAAGATGTAACAGGTCAAAAGATCAACTTGCACATTCCAATTGACAACACAAAGTTAATCGTTCATGCAGTTATTGGTTTTGTTTCCATGTTTTTATTGAAAAGGTACCGTAAGAATGTCGGTAAGGCCCTCACTTCAAAACTTTCATGGTGTATTGTGTCTTTAATCAGTGTGTTGTTATTCACTACTGGGTATATGTTCAATCAAATAAGAGGAAGTCCCTATGTACTCGAACATGCCGATGGTCGGACTGAGTATTTTGCGCCTGGACAGCAAACACAGTTTGGTATCGAAACTCAAATCATGTCGTTTATCTATGGAACTTTGAGTATTTTGGTGATAATTTTGATTAAACGAGCACCTGAAATTAAAAATGAGTCGATTTCCTTGATCTTGGTATCGGTGATTAGTTTGTTAATTTTCCTTATGTTCAGTTTGCTCTTGTCGATTTTTGGATTCAAGGGAATGGGATTCCCATATAGATTTCTTAGATTCTTTTAAAAATACACCAAGAAAACACATGATTGGAATATGTAAACGGATGGATGTTGCACAACCCTCAAATTCCCCTAAGTATTTACTCTTCCACAATAGTCAAACTTTATCAAGAGGATATTTGAAATATACATACGTCAATCAACGCGAAGTGTTGCATATGAGAGATCCCTTCACCAGTTTGTCAGCCACAAATACAACAGAAGATACTTCGCAAAGTGAACTTGGTTGAGAAGAAAGCAGCGCAAGTATTAGAATTATAGATCTAAACAAGAAGCAAAGTATAGTGACAACAACATCTAAAAGTGGCAACTTCATGGACACAGGGAAACTGCATGACACAACAACAGGGGTGACAAGATCATTGGCGTATCATCATTGGTCTTGATGTAGGAGCAACGGTCAAGTATCCTTCCGCCTCGTCACCCGAGTCATCTTCACCCAAATCCAGACTAACAAACGACTGGTTGGCCAGACCAGACATTCCGCTAGAATGGGTGTGCAACGACATCAAGCTTTGAAGCTTTTCTCCATAAATCTTGACCCCCGAAACAAATCTCCGGACTCTTGCTTTGAACATCTTCATTGGCGTGTCCGCCATATACCTGGAATCGGGTCTCCACTCTTCTTCTTCTTCTTCATCGTCATCCCACAAGTCACACCGAATTGTCGTTGCATATTCCCCCCGCATAGCAGCTGGACAGACATCTTCAGTCTCTTCCTCCTCGTCCAGATCCAAACCAAGCTGAAGCGCAACACGTCCTGATTCTGTGTCGGGCGAGAATATTGGAACCACTTCGTCTGTAATGTACTCACCAGGAACCCATCCAGTCCTCTTCAAGATGCTGGGCTTTCCATCAATGTTTGTTGTTGGTGCTTTCCTCTTGGATCCCCAAGACCACTTCCTACGAAGTTTCTTGTCCTTGTTCTTCCCTTCAATAACTCGAGTAAAGTCCTGATGCTTGTCATTGCTAAACTGACGCACCTCCATCTTATTATTGAACTTCACTTTGTTACCACTGTCTGACTCACCACCAATGAGCAACACTTCTGGGGTCCATTTCATTGGGGCTGGTGGTTGAGGTGGTCTGTAGTTAAGGATTGCGTTTTCTATACTGGAGATGGACCCATTCTTTGATTTGTCCCCATTTGGGTCACTCACTGCAACAGCAGCTTCAACGTCATCTTCGCCGCAATCGTCCCATGGAGTGGCAAATCTTCGGACTGGTCCCGTGACAAGGCTAGGTGTGGAAGACATCTTTGGTTCATCTGAGTTGATCTTGTTGTACTTCAGCTTCTGCGCGGTCAGTGGTTTTCGTGGGTTGAATGACGAGACTTGAGGATTGAAACAGTTGGTGGAGGTGTTTTTGTTGAGAATGCTCAAAGTGGATGGCAGAAAGCTTGTTTGGTTTTGTTTTGGTTGTTGTGTGTGTCTCTTGGTCCTAGCAAGCATCATTTTTGAGGACTCAATAACCATCGACGTATCATTCTCGTGCTTGTCGTCGTCCTTGAAGTCTAGTGGGTAGAATGAGCCCCCTTTAACAACGCCAACGTCTTCATCCTCTTCTCTTCTCATCTTGGACTTCGTCAACCTTTTACTTGAGAAGTCATTTGATCCGTGTTGATGTTTGGTGAATGCGCTTTTGGTATGGGTAGTTGTATTTGAAACATTTGATGATGTAGACTGGGAAAAAACGGGGTAGAATGCGGTAGCTTTGTGTTGGCTCTTGACAGTTCTGGTTTCAGCTGAGAAGTGAGTGTTTGGATGTGCTTGAGTGGGTGGTGCTGATGTCTTGTTCTTGTCATCAACATATGAAACCAAATCCTTCAACTCCGACAATGCTGATTCAATCAAAGTAAACCCGTAGTCATCGTTTTCCTTACTGTCGGATACGTAAGCGTTGTTGAAATGAGAAACGCCTTGGCCCTCTTGCGAGGAGATAGTGATAAAGCTGTACATGTGTAAATGTGGTTTTGGTAATGGTGAGGAGAAAGAAAGGAGGAAAGTACAATTCAGAATCTGACTTACTCCCTGGGCCCTTTTATAGTTTTCAAAAGTTTGTAGGAATATCAAAAAAATTTTGCACCCTTTTTGAAGGCTTTTTGAGGTACGCAAAGAGTCACTGTAGCTTGATGGATAGTAAGCCCTTGGTAAGTGCCCCTGCCTATGTTCAAGCTGGGAGGGCTGATCTGGCCTGTGCATATGGAATTAGGCACTCTAAGTTTACGGGGTTATGCAGGTTGGAAGTTCCTGTAACGTTTTGTTCCAACAACACGTGACCAAAGTGATGAGTCCATCTGCATCTTAGAATGATGATCCAGAAACACAATGGCGCGGATCTGTCACCAATATCAGAGACCTGAGGGTAGTAGCGTGCTGTATAGGGACATTCACTTAATTCTTCTAGCTGTTCTTGTTTCAAACACATTGATGCAGTATCGGAAATGTACTGTAGACCTGAAATGAACACGCGATTGGGCGAATGTGACCTTCCCGAGTAGTAGTCAAGATCAAGGTCAATCTGCTGTGGCCATAGCCAAACCTCTCGTTCCAGAGTCTGTACTTTCCAACCCCAACGAGCTTGTTGTATGCATGAACTGTGAATGTACACCTCCAAAACAAAGGAAACACAAAGGAAACACAAAGGAAATGGAAACTCATCTATATTCGAACCTTCATTTGCGTATCATAGAACGGCCGGTGGGACACAATGCAGTCCCACTGTACGACGGCTATGGGTGGAAAGTCAACAATGATAGATCTGTCTCTTTGATGCTCAAATTTTGTAAAGTATTGACAGTCTATGATCTCTGTATCGTGAAGCTTGAAAGTCATTATGAGCCATTACAGAAGAGTGGGTACAGAGTGAGACCTGAGGAGTAACACTGCGGTGTCGAGGTGGCAAGACAATGGGACTCGTGTATGGAGAGTTGACCGGTGGCTAAGTAGTAGCTAGGCAGGAGATGGGCTCATTTCTCTGAGTAAACAAAGTCAAGAATAAATGGAAGCTGCGGGAAAGAGCCGTGCTAGTAGTAGTGGGCCATGTGTGAGGCGGTGCCATTGATACTGAACCCAAAGGATGGCTGAATCATTTGGAGCTGCGTCCTTGTGTGGGAGGGGAGAAAAATAAATGACGTAGACGGCACACACACACCAAAAAAAGGAGCAACAGCTACCACGCCATAAAGAACAAAGCGATTGTGCAAACAGCACCAATACCTCTCCTCTGTTGACTAGAGCAAGCTTCGCATCCAGTTGGCTTACAACAGGCTGTCAGTTTACTCGATGTAGTATGACACTACTTTTGGACATAACACGTACTTGCACATATGGATGCAAGTTTGTGAAATTCCACAATTCCTAGATCTACTCTGCCTATGACAGCTAGTCAAGATTGGTGTATACATATGTTGCAAGTGTAGCTGATAGATTCTATGGACACCGGCTTACACAGGTTTTCAAATTGGTTGATATTAGTAAATCATATATGAACATTGAAAAAGTTGTGGGCAACACGTGATTCTTTTGGTTAGGAAGAATTCTTCATGGGTTCTTTAGTTTTCGCTATAATTTAGAACTATTGATTCCGTATGCGTGTTGTCACGTGAAGCATTCTAATTTTCTTGTGTGGTACTCAGATAAGGAGAACAGCAAAATAGGAATGCTTACAGTTTTGGAGACACGAAATCAAGGAGTAAAGAGGGAGAGTGTGAGATAATAGGGATAGGTATGAGAGACAAACAGATGTAAATGTTTCAGTGGTGGGGTAAGAGTGTTTAAATGGAAGTATATATATATATATACATGTCAGAGTGTGAATGAATGTGGGCTGAGTAAAAATAAAGTAAGAGACAGTACATTTAAGTAATTTTCAATTTTTTCAATGGATAAGCAGAATTACTCCTGATAAAAGAAAGCAAGACAAAAATTGTTCTCTAATTGCACAAAAGACGAAAAGACGAAAAGAAAAAGAAAAAGAAAAAGAAAAAGAAAAAGATAGTTGGTAGTGTGACAAGAAATATATATATTATGTGCATACGTAACGGAAAATAAACCCGCGGATAGATAAAAGATGGTTATATAGAGAGATATCACATAGACAAATGGAGTGGCACTACATGGTAGTCAGATGACAGTTATGCTGGTGGAACAGAAGAGAGGAGGATAGAATAGAATACAATGTGAGCGAGAGAATAGATTTATATAACTCACTCTAGAAGCATTTACAAAGACATATTCTACAATAATAATGATATATGACCTTATTATCTGCAATACAGTACATACTATGAGAATCTACTCTAGGTATATATGTCAGCATTGGTTATGTATATATCAACTTTTTGTGAGTGATCTGGAAGAATTGTTTGAAACGTTCAACATAAGGACAGATGACAGCAAAACGTCAAGGGAACGGATGAGACTAGAATGTAATGGAATAGAATAGTATAGTGCAGAATAGTATTTACAACACAATAGATGACTAATATATAGATGAGATCTAGATAGGAGTATGTACTACTACTACTACTACTACTACTACTACTATACATCAAAACTAACTAAATAAACTTTGTTGTGTATATGTGTATGTATGTATGTATGTATGTATGTATGTGATCCCGGATTTAAGAAACAAAGAAGTGCGTGTGAAAAGTAACAAAAAAGAAATAAAATAAAATAGAAACAAATTTACAGTTAACTACCGGTTATGCACAATTACTTTTTCTCCTCCTCTTCCTCCTCCTATTATCCGAAGAGCACACACACTCTCTCTCTATATATATATCTGTTAGAAGAGAGCAAACTAATCCAATGATAAGTGTATATATATCTGTCTAGCAACTCAACCATCACCCACATCTGTAGATGATACATCCATCAGAGTAACTCAATAAGAGCAATTATCACACACAGCAAACAAACAACTCTTCGACTCACACACATTTTTCCACTTTTTGTCCATATGCCTTTTAATGGTTGTTGTTGTTGTTGCATCCACAGTTGAAAATTGATCTTCACTAAACACAACTTACAACTTACAACTTACACAGAGATTTAATCTTTATTTTTTATTTTTTTATTTTTATTGTCACGTTCCCCTATTCTTTTTTTTCTTTATTTTTTATCAAGATATATTCATATATATATATCTATCTACAACTACATCTACATCTACATCTATAGACTATAAGGAGAAGAAGCAGAATAAGAATAAGAAAAAGAAGAAGAAGAAGAAGAAGAAGAGACTTGTGTACTTCACCTACCAGCAGCATACACATATAATCACACCTTCAATCATGTTGTTTTCAGAGACACCCACGGATTTCAACAGCAACACAGAGAACGATTTGCAGTGCCAGCAGTCCTCGCAATCACAATTTACCCCTCATCACAGTCACAATGATCGCATATCATCTTCTTCTGTCACCCACAAAGATATGCCGCATCGATATCAGCCACAACCAGTACCACATCAACTACCCAACACAAACAACTGCTCGTCTTCGTCAACTACCCACGCATCACCATCAACATCATCAGCATCGTCTTCTTCTTCGTCTTTATTCTCAACAGAGAACAACAACTTTTCTGATCCACGTCCACATGGGAATAGACTACTATTCACTGGCAACGAAGACAATGAAACCCGCAACAGCACCAGCAACAGCAACAGCAACAGCAACAATGTAAATGCCAATGACAATGATACAGAGGATAACTACCATTTTCAACAACGCTCATATTCACCACCAACTCCATGTCCATCCATATGGAGTAGCTTTGATGCAAAGTATGTACCTGACAGTCATGAATTGTTGCAACTACTAGAACCTAATCCCGTTCCTCCTCCTTCCTATGATAGTTTACCACCCGGTGGATGTCCAAGATTTCCTGTGCTTCAACCTTTATCCTCGTTTGAAGAAGCTATATACACAGATCTACATTCCGCTTCTAAAAAGTCAAATACATTTATCTCAGATCCACAAGAGCACACCGATGATGGTCCCTTGAACACACCTGAAGTTAGCGAAACAGTCCCACCACCGTACTCGCCATCCATATACAAAATCGGTATCGTTTCAAGAAAAGTTGAATGGGTCAACCCTTATGAAATGTCCACCAATCGAAGCTGGAAGTATCTCATTTGTGAGTTGAACTCAACGCAACTAAATTTCTATAATATACCACCGGGTTACGAAGACAAGATTTTGGACTTTGTTTCCAAGGATAATAAAGATTCATTGAATCGGATGTGCCCCAATCGCACGGCATTCAATAACTCCATACTCACCAATGACTATGATCACCACCTTTACGATTTTGTCAAAAACCATGGACTACTAGAGGATTTATGTACTGGATCAAAGAAGAAGGGGTTGGTGAGAACATATTCATTACAATATGCAAGAGTAGGATTAGCCACTGATTATCAAAAAAGAGTCAATGTTTTGAGATTAAGGATCGAAAGCGAGCAAATTTTGTTACATTTTGAATGCACCCAAGACTTGATTGATTGGAATACGCTGCTTTCAGTGGGCAAGGATATTGCTATTGATATAAATGAGAGAGAACTGCCCAAATATAGAACAGTACCGAGGAGACGAAGGAGAGGAGGGAACAGAAGAAACAGTAACAGGACCGGAAACACTCAACCCAGTTCAAGTTCGTCATCTGCTACCAACTTTTCTCGCTATAATCTGACATATGACCAATTGACAAGCACTAGAAATATGATCAAGTCAGCATCTGACGCAAACAAAATTAAAGATAGATTTAACAAACTAAGGTCCAAATTTTCGTCATCTAGATTGAGAAGCAGCTCGTATCCATCCCCATCGCCATCGCCATCGCCACTTGATGGTACTTCTGTATCTGACACATACCATCAACCAAGATTGAGATCCAATACCAATTTCCCGGTTCGGAGCAGCAACAATATGGTGGATTGCTCCTATGTATCACAACAAGGTGGTAGTGGAGGATACTCCTCATCAATAACCACTGGCCGGAACCAACATCAACCTAGCTATAGTAGTTCATACGCCAACAGTTTTGAAGACGATGGGGATGACGTGGAAGATTATGACGAAGAGTTCAATGAAGTTTTGAGAAGATCGAGACACGAGATGCTGGCGCTGGCGTCAACTCCACAGGGTGTTGACGACGATCAGGAGGATATTCAAAGTATGTCCGATTTGAGGTTAGACGAGGACGAGGAAGACGGTTCTGGAGAAGGTGAAGAAGATCACGTTGAGGAAGAAGAAGAAGGATACAGGGAAGACACGGATGGAGGATTTGTGTCTATGGCCAGAAGCCGTGGTGTGTTTCCAATTGGCGCAGCTGAGCGTAAAGTGGTCTCGCATATGTCCAGAGGAAACGCTGATGATCACAAGTGGGATCCTCGTCCAAACGAGGCTTACAGTAAACGCAGATACTATCGTAACTGTTTGCGCTGTATTAAACCCCTCACAATGGAAGAATCATGGGTGTACAAACCGTTGGTTAAACCTACCCCGTTTTCGCCGTTGAATGTGGCTTACCTAAAAGCGGTCAAGTATGCAGGACCCAATGGTGAAGTTATGGCATCAGCTTCGGTGTCAGTTCCAAATTCCAGTGTCTCTTCGTCAAGTGCTAGTTTTACTTCAGTGTACAGGAAAAATGCGTATAGTGGCGGGAGTGCATCTTCGTCACTAATGTTACCTGATACTGCATTGACTAAATTGCCTAATCATTTTTTAAAAGAGTTCAGTGTTGGTCCACATGGCTTGGTTCCAAGGGAGATTATATAGACCTAACGCACATTAGTTCATGTTTAGGATTTGCAACTTTGCAACTGGTCTTGCTATCACTTGCTGCTCGGTTATCATTTCCCCCTTGCATTGTATAAATACACACGCTATCTTTGGACGCATAAGAGGTTGCTGCAAGCCTACTCTACAATCTTAAACCAATTCAAATCTTCATTTCATTTTCGTAACTCGTATATACATGATCCATTCTATTCATGATAATTTATGCATAAATCAACACCAGAAATTATAAATCCTATAATACAATGGTTTTGCTCTCAACTCTTCTCTCTCCTCTTGAATTTCTTGCTTGATCAAATCGATATCGACTGCCGATTTACCATTGTCAAGGTCAATATCCTTGGCTCTAATGTATAACCTCCAATTCCTTGTCCATAGTTTATGGCCGACGTAAAAGACAAGTACAATCACACCACCAAGATACGTTTTGAAAAATGTAACAGCTTTAGGTGATTTTCCAACAGGAAACAATGCAAGCCAGAATTGAAGACCCAAAATGACCACGTTTGCAATTAAACCATAATAAGCACCAATGAGTCCCGTGTTTGATTTGTACACAAGATCATCGGTTGATCTTCCTTGCGCCTTCATTGCCATACGATACCTGATGAAAGCTCCGTTGATACTTCCCCAGGTGAATAAAGTAGATAATCCCGATAACGCAACTAACCAGGCAAAAACATCGGCTTGGCTCTTTGAGGCGGAAATAAATGACAACAATCCCACAAATGCTGAAGTAGCAATACCTGCCAATGGTCTTCCCTTTCTATCGACATAAGTGTAGATTTTTGGTGCGAGGCCTTGCTCAGCTAATGCCAAAATTGTTCTTGAGAACCCATAAACGGCGGAATTGGCAATGGCTAAAAGAGCAACCAAGATAACCACATTAAACACTGAAGGCAACCCCTTGATCCCCCCTTGTTTGATGGCAATGACAAAAGGGGAAGCTGCATTTCCACTAGCGCTAGCCAAATCGGGGTTTCCTGGGCTAACCAAACATCCAAGTAACGTCAATGTAGTCATGTAAAAAATGAGAATTCTCCAAACAACTTGCTTGATGGCTTTGGGTAAAATCTTTCTCGAATCCCCGGCTGATTCACTTGAAGTTAACCCAATCAACTCAGTTCCTGCCAATGAGTAAGTTGCTGTCAACAAAACAGATACGACTCCCTTAAACCCAGTAGTAAAAGGAGGATGCCAGTTCTTACCTCCAATAAAGCCTTGGTCACCACCACCACATATCAAAACTATCGCCAAGATGTTGAACCCCACAACCCCCAACAATTTGATAATGGATGCAATAAACTCAGTTTCTCCAAACCCTTTGTTACCACACAAGTTGACAAAAAAAATAACCACGTAGAAAATCGCCACCCACGCATCACTATTAATATCCGAGTTCCAGAAATTGATGGTCAATGCCGAAGCCACCAACTCCAACGGCAAAACAATAACCCAAAACATGGCGTAGTTCCATCCCATGGCGAAACCCCAACTGGGGTCAACAAACTTGACGGAGTACGTGGCAAATGAACCAGAGACTGGGTAACTACTCGACAACTCAGCCAATGATTGCATTGTGCAGTATAGAAAAGTGGAAACGATGGTCCAAGCAACGATCAAACTGGCGGGACCATTCTGGATGGCTAGCCCCGTAGCAACTAATAAACCGGACCCCACACAGCCTCCAAGAGCAATCATTTGCAACTGTCTTTTCTTGAGTGTTTGTTTAAGAGGCGCATGGATGCTGCCTTGTTCAATGTCGTCATTGTTCCCATTATTGGTTTTGGAAAGGGAATTGTCATCTTGAGAATTGGAGCTGGTTGGCACTTTTTCCCGGAGTCGATTGGCTGGTGCTGATTCTGGGGGTTTGAATGAATCTTTGAAATTTGTCCACATGCTGCTCTTGGGTTCATTTGAGTTTGTGCTTGATAGTGATGTGGCATTGGTATTGTTTATACTCTTGTCTTGCAGTTTCGTTGACGGCACTGGTGAAGCTGAGATCGTCATGATTTATGAATGATTATGCTCTGTGACTGTGCTAGACTATGGGAGACAATGCAATTGTAAACGCTGTAAATGATGCAGTAGTAGTAGTAATAGTAGTAGTAGTTGTACTAGGAGTGATAGTAGCTGTAGTGAGTGAATGAATGGCAAAGATGTCAAAGATGGTGAGAAGATGTAGATGAATGAAAAAAAAAATAAATTCAGTATGAAAAACTTGCAGTCTTATACAAGAACTAAGTGAAGGCTGTTCCTTTTGTGAGTCAGAAAAAAAAAAAGAAAAGCGATTAATAATGAGCTTCGGGGACTCTCACTAGAGCAGAGAACGATCTTGGCTTAGTTCCTTTAATCGTGTATTGTGTTTTACATTTGTACCTGGTGGGTTACGATGCACCAAAATAGAGTCTGTCCTCTCTTACAAAAAGATGACTTTTTATGGTTTTGTGTGTGTTGCAGCTAAGCTGTTGTTGTTGTTGCTAAAAAAAAAAAAAAATAAAAAAAAAAGGTTAGAAAGATCAATGTCCTGCATATTGTGCATACTTCTTCTGTCTTTAAATTTCTTTTTCTTTCTTTTTCTCTACACTACATCTCCTGTACATTGTCCTAAAGCGCATGTTTGTACAACGATGTATCCGCTAACGGACTGATACAAAGCAAAAATACTTTAAAGTATCCGGTGGCCATGTCATGATGATGACCTTTGTTCTATGATTTCGGGTGTGAATCAATGTATAAGAACTCATCTATGCCGTTTCCCAACTGGATTTGTCGTCTCTTTTGGGTACACTTGTGCGAGATTAAACCCGCAAAGATTTTCCGAATTTTTTCTCTCTATCTCGCAAAAAAATTTTAATGTGCAATTTGACTTTCAAAACGGGGCAAGAGGTGAATAACTTTCGACTTGCCCTGGATAGACTAAGTACTGGTTGATTTTCTCTGTTGATTATGCACGTTGGTGCCGGAACAGGATAGTTCTATATGAAGGGGGTATTGTGTGTTCTGAGCATTAAAGGAGAAGAAGTTGTTTTTTTTTCCTTTTTTTTTTTTTTTTGCAAAATGCCTTACAGCTGAAGAGACGTGACGAAATGCGGCACTTTGAGATAATTTTAACTTGAGCAACAACCAAGCGAAGAGGGTGAGACCACTTCCAACATCACCTGGACCCTCAAGTGAAACTTTCCTTACTAAGCCCACGATTTTACTGCTTTTCATCTAAGCTAGCTGTGTAGCGTGTAATTTCTCATACATCTCTCTTCTCCAACACCAAAAACTGGTGTATCAGATCAATCGAGGCAGTGGCTACCTGGCCATATCGACTCAACCGCTGTCCATGTCTGAAGTTCCTTTGTCTTGCTTTTGTCGGTCTTGGCTGACCCTTGGTTGAGATACCTCTTTCCACCGCTCGCCCGCCATTTCCTTGTTTGGCTTTTTTTCTTTTTTCTTTTTTCCTTTTTTCTTTTTTTTTTTCTTGTACACTTTGCTGCCAAATCGCCGTACAGAAGTGTCGCTGCCGCTAAATCTTGTCTGTTTTCATTGCAGGAGAAATAAAGTATTTACAGTATATAACGATCGCTCATATTATATACACTCTTCAATATATGCATTAACTTAGCATCGTGGAGAACTGTTGAGTAATCGTAACTATAGATTTATGTGGGTGTGGAACAGTTTCTCTGCTTAATTTCCCAAACACCATGAATACAACGCCACAAGTTGTTACATGTAACTTTGAATGCTCTTTTGTCTGAGCTTTAGCTTTTTTCGGTGTCGTACTCTTGAACGAAACAAATGTATGAAGCAACAATGAAAAGAGGAGGCTGTATCATGAATTAGAGTGGTTCTGTTGGTAGCTATTGAGACAACTCTTCTCTCTCCTAAGACTGGTACCAATCTGATACATTTTAGGACCAGTGGTTTGTCTACATCCAGTAGTTAAAACAAATATTTCGAGAATATATGTCGAGTTTAGTTCAAGATATCTGGGTCTTCTATAAATTAAATTTGCTTCAATTTTATTGCAAAAAATAAAATAAAATAAAATAAAAAAAAAAAGAAACCATTAGAAAATTAGAAAATCACACGATACAAGAATCGTATTAATGCAATGCTTTGAAAAAAAACCACAATACATCAAAGAAACTGTCAAGTCGCGTTGTTCGGAAGTATGTATTGCAATCCATACAACACCAAAATCACTTGCTAAGATAGAGATGATCAAATGAGTGGTTGTTGATGTATTATTTAACATTATTGGTGGCGGTTACCACGATTACTTTTATGCGTTATTACGTCATATGTCTTCCAAGAGAGGTAAATTGTGATGTAGTTTCGTCAACCTGAGATTACGAGGAGAGAACGGGTTTGTAGAACTAGAGCTTTGCAACACGATTTGTCCGCTTGCATAGTATTACTCCGTACAATACTCCTCCCCCCCGTCCTCCTCCTCCTCCTCCTTTCTGTTTAGTTCGATCCCAATACTGTTACGTAGCAAACAAACAGAAAAAAAAAAAAAGTGTGCAGAACACTCCTATGTAGGAAGTGGCACAAAATGTCTGTTACTAGTTTATCTCTCCCCACCAAAGTTTTCCCAGTGCGTACGGTGTGTAATGCGAATGCGCAAGAGAGAGAAAGTTGGTTGGGTGAGAAGGCATTTTCAAAGCTTAAAAAGCAGAATTGAATATAATCCCATCATCGTCACCATCATCTACATTCTTTTCTTCAACTTCACCATATACACACATTGAATATTCACACATCAAATCCCCCAGCCACCCCCTTAGCATGTCAAAATCAGACTTACAATTCAAGTCAACCCAGGACCCTGCTAAATTGAAAGAATTGTTCACCTTATGCGGTAGTGAATGGGGTGGACCATTGGATCCTGAAGAATTTGGCAAAGTTCAAACTGAGAGCTTTGAGGAATATATCAAAAGCGGGTTAAAAATAGAAGGTTTTTACATCGAGGATACTTCAAAGGGATTGATTGTTGCCACAACAATCATTAAGCATTTGAAGGGATTGTATAAACCAGCTGATAGGTCCAGTTTGATTTCTTCAGTACCAGATCCATCATTATTTGGTATAAAGAATATTACGTCGCTATTAGTAAGTTTTGTGTTCACCCACAAGGATTACAGAAGAAAAGGATTGGCTGAACAGTGCATATCTCAAGCCATTGCAGCTACAGAAAGGGAAATTGTTGACCACCATTTACAGAAAAGTGACGAGTCTGCCAACGATAGTTTCAGAAAAATGACACTTGATAACTTCTCCGGAGAAGTTGATCAGGAATTGGCAAATTACTATCTCGGAAAAGAGTATGTGTGGTTTTTGTTTTCTGGTGTTCAGACATACTATAAACGGTTTGGATTTAAAGGCTACCCCATAGACTTTTATGAAATCCCAGTGCAAGAATTGACGGAGGGACAAGAGACGGTATTAAAGCAGTTGATTGAAGATCTGGAACTGCAAAACCAACACCAACCAGACGCAAAGTCTAAAATCTTGGGAAAGAGAATTAAATTGTTGGATTGGGACAGGGACGAAGACCAAGAGGTGATTCAGTTCATTTTGCAAACCAAGGAGTTGGAGATTCTTTCAGAGTTGAACAAGCTCAGTTATCACTCTGAATTACAAGGGGATAGAAAATCATCGACTTCACTCACCAATATGTCCAACATTTTATCCATGACAAAAATTGGGTCCCACAGCACATTGTCAGCAATTGGTGAAACCACCACTACGGGAAAACCTAGAGGCTCTGAAGATGGATCAAGAAGAAAGTCGTCGGCATTGAATCAAACAGTCCCCAAATTCGCCATTAAGCCATCTTTTGCCGACTACAAAAGTAAGGTTGTTGGTGCTTTGGGCTATGCAAAGTCCGATCAGAGCAAGAAATTTACCAAACTTCAGGGTGCTATAATTACAAATGATTTACAAAGAAGGTCTTATTACATTTTGTGGAACTCCTTGAAGGGTGAGTTTTTCATTACTGGTATGGGCGAGATTATCTACGAAAGTGTATTACCGTCAACCAACTCACAAAGAAGAGGCTCTTCATTCACGGGACTTAACGATTTGGGTGGCTACAATTTTCAAGATTTGGACATTTTAATCTCAGCAGCCTTGTACACAGCCAAGAACCGCAGCCCTAAGTTCCAAAATGTTTACGTTTCAACGCATGACTTGCCCAGTGATATACCTGACGCAGTGATGCATGACTTTTTCATAAATTACCTTCCATTCTCATCCTATGCTCTGGATGAGCATAAAGAGAAGAGAAAAGAGGCAAAATCAACAGGAAGTGAAGAGCACAGGGTTGAGCTTCTTGCTGACAATGGCAAAAAAGTTGGCGTTTTACCTATGGTGAGACAATTTGGAAGTGGCAAGAGCGAATTTGAAGTCGACTGGTTAGAGAATGGAATGTGGTGTTGGGGCTAAATGGGTCAAGCGCAATTGATTGATAAAAGATATGTTTGATGATATCAAGCTCTTTCTAGCTTTATAGTTCAGGGAGGAATGAAATTAGAATGAGTCCATCTAGCTGAGACACACACACACACACACACACACACACACACACACACACACACACACACGCACACGCACACGCACCCTTCTTTCTTTCTCTGTCTCTGTCTCTGTCTCTCTTTCTCTCTGTCCAACTCCTTGTCTTTTGTGTGTTTGGAGATGGCTGTTACACAAGTACAAAATGTAACTGAGAAGAAAGAGAAAAAAAAAAAAACAAAAAAAAACTCTGCTATTTTATTTTGATTCTCTCTTTGGTAGCTAAGGGGTTCCATAACGAGTTGAGAGTGGTTTACGAAATCAACGACGCAAGACCTCACGCCCCTCACTTAGAGCCATAACAACTACATACTATGAAAGAAAAAGGGGAGACTTCTATTGGTGCAAAGAATTCATTTGAAAATTTGGTGCATATAGCTAGCAACATGTCGCAAGAATTTCAAAGATTGAAACAAGATGAGTCAAGACACCCACAGCGTTCTAGTTATGGCCCTGAATTCGAGAATCAATCCCAATCCCCCACTCCATCGATAAATTCCACCGGCTATGTTAAAGACTCAGGATCCAACACGCCTTCCAACCTAGCAAGCTCTCCTTCGAATCAGCATCTGCAGTTGCAGCAGACAGAGAGACAGGGGAAGGCTAAGAGAATGGCGTGTGTTGAGTGCAGACAACAGAAATCGAGATGCGATGCCCATGAGAGACACCCTGAGCCCTGCACTAGGTGTGCCAAGAAGAAACTCAAATGTGACTTGAAGTCGGATTACAAGAGAACTTACAAGAGGGCTAGGATAGCTCAAATCGAGAAAGAGTTTATGGAGTTGAAGAAGTCATTAAATACAGCACAGGCTACAGAACTTCTCTCGCGATTTCCTTCGTTGGCAAATGGCGAAAACAAAGATGGGGATGGAGATTTTAACCTAGTAGATAGTCCACGCAACAGCACACCACAACAAGAAATTACAGCAGACAGGAAGGTCCATGATAACTCGGTGTCAAGTCATCCAACGGAAGCAAGACCTCCTTCATATCCCCAAAGCACAAATGTCCGTAATGTCTCGATTGTCAACGTGCCACAAGTTTGTCAGAATACACAAGCTGATGCCGCAAATGCCCACCCGAACGTCCCCCAATTGACTTATGATGCCAAGTTAGGGAATAGCAGTGTGTCGAGGTTACTGCAAGGCCTCAAGCTTTCTGACGAAGTGTTGCACTGTGAAGACAAATCTGTTGAATCGATAACGTTAACTTCAAGTACGATCAAGGAACTTTTCATGGAATATGTTTCACGATATCATCCGATTTTTCCTGTTGTCGAAGTAACCAAAGGACCAGAACGGATATATAGGCTTTGCCCCCCACTATTTTGGGTTATCATATTTGTGTCCTTGCGAAGATTTAAAGAGGGCTTTTCAAAAAATTTGTTGATTCAATTGTCGCCGATAGTGAAGGGAATTCTTGCGGAAATTATGATTTCTCCAATTACAAGGTACAACCCCACTGAAGAAGATGAACCTATCTACAATGTCAGTTCCGTTTATTCAGTACAGGCTTTCTTGTTATATTCTTATTGGCCGCCAATCACTTCCTCACTCAGTGCGGACTCTTCGTATAGTACTGTTAGTACTGGGTTTTTCCAAGCAATACGAATAGGATTACATGCTCCCTCGTTGTTTTCAAGCGGAAAAAATTCAGACTCACAGTCCGCAAGTAAGATTACACAACAGCAGCAAATGTTACAGGAACAGATCAAAACCTGGATTGCGACAAATGCAGCAAGCCAGTTCATAGCCACAGCTTTTGGGTACCCCGCATGTGTTCAGTTTGACTCCTCTATCTGGTATTACAGCCGGAAAGGTAGCGATGTCCCGATCCCGGAAGATATAAAGTTGATGTTGGCTACTGCGCAATTTGAAGATCAAATGGCCAAGTCCCTTAACTCCAATCCTATGGATCCTTGTGGTGTAAGTGACGCCAATGAAAGAGTCTCACTTTTGAAGTTGCTCGAGAAAAGAGTAGACGAGTTGGAAGTGACCATTTCCCGTACAACACTGCATGATTCGTTCAAGTTTAGAATGTTTGAAATTTTGGCTTCCAAAGTACATCTTTTCAGTTATTACTTTATGGACTCTTCAAAGATTTCGGAGTTTGAATTGAAAACAGGGTTAGTAAAGCTTTATAATGCAGCAACTAGATTGGTTTCTTTTACTCAAAGTTGTCAAACCGAAGATAAAAAGTTTATCAAGTATCTACCAGGTGTGTATTTGCTCAACCTTTGGCAAGCTGCTTGTATCATAGGGAAATTGGTTCACTCCAGCTTGAAGAGCGTAATTGATGTTACTCGGGGGAAACAAAGCTATGAGGCGGTTGTAAATTTGACTGCTAGAGCGTCCATACTTAAGCATGACATGGCATTTCGTTCAAGTGGAATAACGCGAAATATGTGGCTGCTTTTCCGACAATTGGATAGCCAGAATTTGAATACTTTGAGCATAAGTATAAGAAACAGGATGGCAGCGTCGGTGTTTTTTGACTGTTTGAATTTGATTAGAGAGAAAGCAGGCATGACAAACTTGAGAGTGAAAACAGATGATCGAAATCCGGGTCCTGAATCGCATTTAGAAGATGGACAAGAGGACAATTTGCAAGCTGAAGGGGATCTGGATTCAGAAGCGCGAAAGGAAATTAGTCGCAAGGAAAAGAGGTCATTATCGAATGAAGATGACGCTGATCAGAAAGCAAGAAAGATTATTCGAACAATTCCTTTGGATCCTGAACCGATTTCAGCTGGCGCAACGAAAAGAAGCACTATATTCAATATTGTAAATGCTTCCACAGATTCCACACCGGCGGTGAAAGGCGACTGCAACACTCCAGATACAAATAGGTATAACCAAGTTCCACCTCCGTTTGCCACCTCTGCCCCCGCCGTCGATTCCACTGTCTTGAATGGAAATCAGAATACCGTCACCACACCACAATTTTTGCCTTCAGTGCATTCTCAGAGTCTTCAGAAGGATCCAATGCCTAACTCAAATCACGAGTATCCGCCATTTACATCCAACACGACTTACCAGCAACCACAATCTACCTCCACCTACTACGATTCGCCACTACAACTGGGATTAGAAAGCTTGGACTTGGACAGGTTTGACAGCGATATGTTGTGGAGAGACGTCGACAGCGTCATGAACGATTTTGGATTCCACATGGGATGAACTTGTTATAAATACTTTGTCTAGAATGTATGTAAAAGGATGCGCCTTCTGTATCATCTCGATATAGACACGACTGTGTAACACAAAAGCAGGCAGTTGCCATACACAGTGTAAATTTTTCAAAAATTTTTTTTTGTATTTTTTTGTTCTCTTTGAAAAATGGTGAAAAAAAAAAACAAAAAAAACTGAATACACACACCTTATATCCTTTCTATCAGACGATTCAACACTCATTAAGCTAGATATGTCATATGACGATATAGAAAACGCAACTCCTGACATTGTCATTGGAAGTACTCTTGAGGAAGAGGAAGACGATTACCAGTATGAGAACGAGAGCGACAATGAAGGGCAACAAGAAAAGGATTTGGATGACTCACAGCTGAAAGGCAAAAAGTCTGTTGCATTTGCAGGTTTGGATGAAGAGGACGATGAGAAAGCCGAGGAGAGGGCCAAAAGGGAATTCGAAGAAGGTGGTGGCTTGCCAGAGCAGCCTACCAATCCAGATATTACTCAGCTCACTCCACTTTCTCCTGAGATCATCAATAGACAAGCTACAATCAACATTGGTACAATTGGTCACGTTGCGCATGGTAAGTCTACCGTTGTTAGAGCCATTTCCGGTGTCCAGACTGTTCGTTTTAAAGATGAATTGGAGAGAAACATTACCATTAAATTGGGATACGCCAACGCCAAAATTTACAGGTGCGATAACCCAGAGTGTCCCGAACCTGGATGTTATAAATCTTTCAAGTCAGATAAGGAAATAAGACCCAAATGTGAGCGCCCAGGCTGTGAAGGGCGCTATAAGTTGGTTAGACACGTTTCATTTGTTGACTGTCCCGGCCACGATATCTTGATGAGTACAATGTTGTCAGGAGCTGCAGTTATGGATGCAGCCTTGTTGCTTATTGCTGGTAACGAAAGTTGTCCTCAGCCACAAACTTCCGAACATTTGGCAGCTATCGAGATTATGAAGTTGAAGCATGTCATCATTTTGCAAAACAAGGTTGATTTGATGAGAGAGGAATCTGCATTGGAGCACGAAAAATCTATCCTTCAATTTATAAGAGGTACGATTGCAGATGGCGCGCCAATTGTTCCAATATCAGCGCAATTGAAATACAACATCGACGCTGTCAACCAATTTATAGTGAATTCGATACCTGTGCCCATTAGAGATTTTAATGCATCACCTAGATTGATTGTCATTAGATCCTTCGATGTGAATAAACCTGGTGCTGATGTTGATGACTTGAAGGGAGGGGTTGCAGGTGGTTCGATATTGACCGGTGTGTTTAAGATTGGTGATGAGATTGAGATTAGACCAGGTATTGTTACCAAAGATGACCAAGGTAGAATTCAATGTAAAACGATATTCTCCAATATTGTTTCCTTATTTGCCGAGCACAATGATTTGAAATTTGCTGTACCGGGGGGTTTGATTGGGGTTGGTACTAAAGTTGACCCAACCTTGTGTAGGGCTGATAGATTGGTTGGACAGGTTGTTGGGGCAAAAGGAAATTTGCCCTCTATTTACTCGGATATTGAAATCAATTACTTTTTGTTGAGAAGATTGTTGGGAGTGAAGACTGAGGGACAAAAGCAAGGTGCAAAAGTTAGGAAATTGGAAGTGGGTGAAGTTTTGATGGTTAATATTGGTTCGACTGCGACTGGTGCTAGAGTAGTAGCTGTCAGGGCAGATATGGCGCGTTTACAATTAACTTCCCCGGCCTGTACCGAAATTAATGAGAAGATAGCCTTGTCGAGACGTATTGAGAAGCACTGGCGTTTGATTGGATGGGCAACAATCAAAAAGGGAACCACTATAGAACCTGTAGTTTGATAACCGGATGAACAAATGTTGTGGTTTACATAGGTGTTTCTAGTACTGTATAAATAGAATCTGCAGAGTTTATTTTAAATTTTGTCAAGGCTACTGAGAAACTTTGGTAAAGAGTCCACTTGCATCATCTTGTATAAATGGGCACTGATGTCGTTGAATAAATGGCCCAACTCCTTCAAAACCTGATTCACATTATTCTCATCAGCAGTGCTCAAACGTTTCTGAGATGTATCCCTTCTTTCCAGTGAAGATTCTTCAGTTGGAGTTTGCATGTATGTTTTCAAATCGGAGCCATTGCAATCTGCTCCATTAGCAACTCCTGTCAATAGTTCGACAACTTGCAGCCTCAAGCTGTAATCAATATTCAACATTGAGGGAGAGTCATCGCTGATGTATGTGTTGTAGATTTGGTAAGCAATCGACATACACATATCTCGAAGACTTATTTGGTGCTGCAATGTCAGTTTATTCAAAATAGCATCTTGCTCAAGATCACTACTATCCAAAAAGTCATTCCAAAGTTTTACATTCGCCTGGAATGTTTGCAACTGGCAATAGGCGTCAAAATTTTCCAAACAGAATTCACTCTCCAAATGGGACTTGAATTGAAATCTCAAACCTGGGTCCTGCATGATTGCATCCAATGTGACTTCTGGTCTGAACGGGCTGTTCTTGATCAGCAATTTGAGAGCCGACATTGCAACCACGCTCCTGTTCCACATGCAGAAACTTAGCCCCTTTTCATCAACATAATAATAGTGTTCCTTTTGAAAGATCAAACTTCCTTCGTAGGGTTTGCAGGACTTGATTAGCTTTTGACTAAGGAACAAGCCAGCAATTTCTAATGCATGCTTTGGCCTAACAAGATCAGTGCAGTCCATGAGCCATTGAACGATGGCTTTTCCATTAATAAGGTAGTAAAAGGCCTGGGGTTGAGACTTGGGTTTTGCGCCATCGGCCTGCTTCTCCTTCTTCAATCTGACTCCAACAGATGAAACGTAGTATTGAATGTGTGCGTCTGATTCTGGGTTCAGAAAGTATCTGTGGTGAAAGGGACTTACATCTGGAGCATTAGACAAAGAAGCATCGTCACTAAAAGTTTGGCTTGCTTCCAAATTCTTCTTTTGGTATTTCACAAAGCTGAATGGGTTTGCTGGTTTCGACACCACTGGCGGTGAAGATGACAATTTATTGCTAACATCAAAGTCGTCTTGTGTTTGCAAATGAAAGGGGAAGTCTTCGGTATCCTTGCCAAAATTGAACTCCTCTTTATCAACTACATAAGATATTGGATCGGGCTTATTCATTGGCGACCACACGTTTGGGGACGGGCCCAATAATTTTGCAAAAAGTAGCTGTATCAAGCTTTTTGAGTAGATCACCTTGTCAGTGACTTGGTCGCGATCAAAATGGAACAACTGCATTGTGTTGTACGATTTTTGCAACAAAACTTCCGGCATGCTCAGTTTTTTCATGCCCACTTTTTCGCAAAATGACTGGACTACTGCCAAACCTTTTGGGGTTGGTTGTAGGAGAACTTCTTGTTTGGGCTCTGCCCGCGTTCTGTCAGCTGGCGAGTGTAAAAGCTTGGCTTTGTAGAACTGACGAATTAGGGTGCATGCAATTTCCGATTGGAAGCTATATGATAAGCATGTAATTGTATTTGACGAGTCTATCTCCACACGAAGATGTGCCATTTGTTCAATTGCACTCAGGAGCCTAAATGAGTAAGGATGTTTTTTGCTCAAAGTGGTGAGCCTTATTTTCGAAAGGGGCAGCAGATACAAGGACGAACGTTTCAAGTTTTTTCTTCTCTTGGATGAAGATGATGCTGAAGTCGTTGAAGATGAGTTGTTTGAAAGTTGCAAGGAGATAATTAGCGTGGCAAATATGTCTCTCAAATCCTTTTCGTAAATTTTACCGCTGCTGGTTCGATTGAATCTTTTTGCAACTGCCTCGTGTAGTACATTTGAGCTTGGTTTTGCTGACGGATCATTGACAAAAGTACCTGGTAGATCAAGAGAAGACGATGACGAAAGCAGTTTTTCTATCTGTGGAGGTGGATGCAATATCAGGTGCACTTCTCCATTGAAGTCTTCGTGTGATCGAAGAGTAGCGAGTACACTACTCAGTCCCCTCTTTAGTAAAGCTGGCATGTGATCTGGTGGTGTGACTGGGGATGTTTTGTGGGTAGGCTTTGTACTAACCACAAGATTCATTGTTTCAACAAAGGGAACTCCTTTCCTCTTTCCTCTTCTCCCTTTTTTTATCTTCTTCTAGCCTTTCATTTTTAATGAAGGCATCTACGGATTGTGAGCGCCTTTTATATTCAAGTCATTAGAAAGCTTGAGATATTGGGTATCAAATTTGCAGTTTCAGCTAAAGTTTGAAACATCATAATTTAATGTCTAAAAATAAAAGTAAAAAATAAAAATAAAAATAAAGAGTATATAGACAACCGCCTCTGTATTGATACATAACCCTCTAAGAGGGGTACACGGTTACTCGCATTTCACTCACACTTAAGAGCTCATGCAACCTTCTTCTTACGATACAATCCTCAGGTAGATAATATAGTGTTGAGTTGAGATATTTTAGATTGTTCATACTTTTACCTTTCGCTTTGATGTACAGATTTGTGTAATAACCTCAAACACCAACTTTCAAGTATACTCCAAAAGAGTGCTACACTTGACGAAAGTCTTGTTTTACTTTACTGAGTCAGCCCTCACATGTTGCTTGATATAGAGCATACAATATACTAAGGAGTATTTAGTTGATGGAGGAGTTACACGACAATTCAACAACCTTTTGTATCATGTTTCAGAAATGCCATTTGAGAACTTGGTACCAAATTGTAATAAACTACACTCACTCTATTTCGTCTCCTTCTGTAACTACAATGTCAAGGTACCACATTAAAAGTAGCAGCACACTTGAAAGTATACACCTAGTTAAAGCAGACAAGAAACAAAGTGCTTTATGAGTACAAAGCGTATAGATGGGTAATTTAGTATGCACAAAAAGAAAAAAAACAGACCAGTGTCGTCAAAGTTGTATTCGCGACATAGGACGAATCATGAGTGTGTAAGAATAAAATACCGAATTGGGTCGTACTGATGCTAATTGTTTTACGTTAGTCCTACCCTATTCACCTGTCCACCCTCCCCTCCCCTCCCCATCACCCACCCATGAAAGATCAGTCTACTAGCACTGCCAATGGGGGGCTTAACGAACCAGTCAACCAGCGCAAGATCACCAACGAGATTGCAATGCACAACGCAAGAAGCGTGCAAAGTCACAGAGATTCTGACGTCCATCACTCCCTGAATAAACCTGCATTGGCAGCAGATGTGTCCTGCACACCAGCGACAAACAGCAGTACAATTTTGGAGAGCGATTTGAGGGCTGTAAAGCTGTGTTTGATGTCACAACTAAATGGAGACATAACTCACGTTGACGATTCAAACATTGAGAGTGGATACGAAATTGTTTTCAATCTCCTTGAGAAAACTGTTGCCCAACGCGAGAGACACTCGCTTTTGCTTGTTGGCCCGAGATCTTCGGGAAAATCAACTATTGTGAACAAAGCGTTGGATAACTTGAAGTTGGTGTATCCGAAAGAATTTCTTGCGATCCATTTGAATGCCTCGATACATTCGGATGACAGCACAGCCGTGAGAGAGATAGCACGCCAATTAGATCTTGCTACAAAACGACAAAACGCAAACAATGGGAGCACCATGTCACGTACGCAGCAACACCTTGAAGCTATTGTCGAACGAAAATCAATCCACGAAACATTCGCCAACATTTTAAATGTACTTAGCGTTTCTTTGGAGAGCAAAGGAGACTCACAAACGAAACACATGCCCTTGATATTTGTTATTGATGAGTTTGAAAAGTTCACATCTAACATCAAGCAGACTTTATTGTATAATCTTCTTGACATGTCCCAGAACAGCGAAATTCCAATCACAGTGATTGGACTTACAACAAAGATTAATGCTAGGGACTTCATGGAAAAAAGGGTAAACAGCAGATTCTCACAACGTATCTTGACAGTTTTGCCTACAACCCAGTTTCCCGAGTTTGTAAGGAACTCAATGAGTGGGTTCCTACTCAATCCCGCATTTGTGGAATCAATGAATGCTCCTCATTATGGAGAAACATGGAACGCTAACGTAAGGAAAGTATTTCATGGGGATGACAAAAGTCTGTTCAAAATTTTGTGCTCAAGAATCTTCAACACCACGAAGAACTACAAGGAGATAAATAACGTACTCAGGATACTTTTGTCAGAGATTTCCATGAGCAGTCCGCTCTTTGACAACTCGGCCCTTAGTCGTATTATACAAAGATATACATTTGCGGGAAATCTACAGTCCGCTGTTAATGCTCTATCAGATAGTGAACTACACCTTTTGGTTGCAGCGGCAAAATGGACCGAAAAGTTTAACACCCCCACAATAAATTTCAACTTGGCGTTTGTTGAATACAAGTCTTTGATGAAGGAGTCGAATGCTTTTGCAGGTGCGCCATTTTCACTAAGCAATATGAAAGTGGACAAGAAACGTTTATCCAAGAAAGCTTTGAGGAACAGTTGGGACGTCCTATTCAAGTGCAATTTGCTCGTTGAGCCGTCGTCTATGTCTTCTGCCACTCCAAGCGCATCAACCGAAAGAAGGTCAATCAAAACTGTCATGGTTGGCGATAATACAATGGTGTTGCTAGAAATCACCTTGGACGAGTTGAGCCTACTCATTGGAGATACTAGATTAGCCAAGAGGTTTTTGCGCCTATAGAGAATCTACAAAGGTTGGGTATATGCTATCGCAAATCACAGTTGGCGCCTGTTGGAATTCATATCACGCATCACTGATCCAGCCTAGCATATGTGCACCGAAACGGAACATCGACGGAAGTTGAGGAAATCGATTTAGGCTCGAAATGCTTTGATCGAAACCAAGCCCAACAGTTGTCATTTTCCTTCCCTTTTTTTTTATTTTACAATGGAATGGTTGCTGCATTTTATACGAGCCCGACTATAGCAGGTAATGAATACATCCGTATCGTTTATTCTTCCAGGTCAACTTTGCATACTCGACCTAGAGTTTGTCCTTGAGAATAGTATTGTGTAGAGGCAGCGGAAAAAAAGACCTTGGATTACTTCTGTCTTAGTATCTTCTGCGCCCCTCTGCTTTATTTTTGTACGAGATCATTCTGCAACTTGTGGTCTCAAACTTCTTGCCATATAATCTACCCAGTCCTCTTGTACGACATATTTCTACCATTCTCTGTGAAGACCTTGTTGTCGTCGGCACCGCTTTCCACTTTTTGTGCTTCTGCGCAGAAAAAAAAAAAAAAAAAAAAACGAAGAGGGAGAAAAAAAGTTCAAGGATGCGCAGATGAGGCTACAAAAAATGCCAGTACAGAGTTGAATTTCATCTCAAGGCAATTACTGCTACTAACAGTGGTTAACGTTGGATAGTTATTTAGGATGGGTCTGGGGAGCCAAATAACAGGTACTATAGATCGAAAAATCTATAACTTGACCTATGATCTCTTGGACGAGCGAACAGAAAGGAATCGAAACGCTTTGAATGTGAATGAGTTGCAGGATCCATTTGCAGGAGTGGAATCAGCAAAGAACTTGACCATTTCCCAGGTGCTCACTTACGTTCAACTGAAGAACTTTGAATTGAAGCGAACCAAGAAAGCCCAACTCGAAAAGTCGATTTCAAAGGTCTTGAAACTAATAAGGGAAGATGAAGAGAGTGAGTTAACCAACAACCAATCGGAAAAAGAAATAGAGAGCGCTTCTGAAACGGAAGCTACGGAAACAGCAGGCCCTAACTTGATGGAATTCAAGGATCCTAACTTGTCGAACAAGTCAGTTACTTCGTTGTGGAATTTTGATGACCGCGAAGAGGACCAAAATTTAAATACTGATGGTACGACTACAAAACGAAGGGCGAAGGATTCCATTAGAAGTGTTTCAAAAAAGCAAAAGCGCAAGTTTGATCATACGCCCCCTGATATCACTTTTTCTAACTTGGGAGGCTTGGACAATGTTACTACACAGCTACTTGAACTTGTTGGGCTACCTATTCTACATCCCGAAATATACTCCTCGACTGGGGTTGAGCCTCCAAGAGGAGTGCTTTTGTATGGACCGCCAGGGTGCGGTAAAACAACGATCGCCAATGCACTAGCAGGAGAATTAAAGGTTCCTTTCATCAATATATCAGCCCCATCGATTGTTTCTGGAATGTCTGGTGAGTCAGAAAAGAAACTTCGTGAATTATTTGATGAAGCAAAGACCGTGGCTCCGTGTTTAATATTCATGGATGAGATAGACGCCATCACGCCAAAGAGAGATGGGGGAGCCCAAAGGGAAATGGAAAGAAGAATTGTTGCTCAACTTTTAACCCTAATGGACGAACTAACGCTAGACAAAACGAACAACAAACCCGTGATTGTAATAGGTGCCACTAATAGACCAGACTCATTAGATTCTGCTCTTCGCCGGGCGGGTCGGTTCGATCGGGAAATATGTTTGAACGTTCCAAACGAAGCGCAGAGAGAATCCATTTTGAGAGCAATGACTAAAAACATCAAGTTACAAGACAGTGAAAATTTTGCTTACAGAGAGCTATCAAAGCTCACTCCCGGTTATGTAGGGGCCGACCTTAAAAGTCTTGTAACCGCTGCCGGCGTTGCTGCCATCAAGAGAATTTTCGAAACTATGAGTGAGAAACACGAAGAGACCAATAGCGTAAAGGAAGACAATATGGATATAGACCCCGATTCTGGTAAGGATAACGAAGCCGTACTCTCAAAAAGGTTTGGAAATAAAACTGACTTTGAGCAAATATCCACAATTCAAAAATTTTTGGGGCGAAACCCTGAACCATTGACGGAGGAACAACTACAGCCTTTATGCATCACCTACGACGATTTTGTGAAAGCCCTTCCTACTGTTCAACCAACCGCCAAAAGAGAGGGTTTTGCAACTGTTCCAGATGTTACATGGAGAAATGTGGGCGCCTTGGCCAAGGTGCGTATGGAGTTGCACATGTGCATCGTTCAGCCAGTTAAGAAGCCAGAATTGTACTTGAAAGTGGGTATCTCAGCCCCATCTGGAGTTTTGATGTGGGGCCCGCCCGGGTGTGGGAAAACTCTTCTTGCGAAGGCTGTTGCAAATGAATCTCGTGCTAACTTTATATCAGTCAAGGGACCAGAATTATTGAATAAGTACGTGGGGGAGTCAGAAAAGGCGGTAAGACAAGTGTTTCAGAGAGCTATGGCTTCAAAACCTTGCATTATCTTTTTTGACGAGTTGGATGCTTTGGTTCCACGAAGAGACACGTCCATGTCGGAATCGAGTTCAAGGGTTGTGAACACCTTGTTGACCGAACTAGACGGACTTTCGGACAGAAATGGTGTTTTTGTCATTGGAGCAACGAATCGGCCCGACATGATAGACCCTGCGATGCTCCGTCCTGGCCGGTTGGACAAGACTCTTTATATAGAACTTCCCAGTGGAAGCGAGAGGCACGAGATTTTGAAAACAATTATAGCGGCCAACAATACACCGATTGCCGACGATGTTGATCTTATGGAAGTTGCGAACAATGAGAAGTGCCGTAATTTTTCTGGAGCAGACTTGTCTTCTTTAGTTAAGGAAGCGGGAATTTCAGCTTTGAAAAGGAACTTCTTTGGCTCCCAGAAGCTCGAGATGTTGGATGCTTCGGGATTTTACAACGAAACCTCGTTGGAGAAACGTATAGAGATCACTAGGGAAGATTTTCACCGTGCTTTGGCTGCCATCCGTCCGAGTGTGAGTGATAGGGATAGACTAAAGTATGAGCGTTTGAACAAAAAACTTGGTTGGGACATAATCGGCGAAAAAATTGGGACAGCAGAAACGACCACAGAAGATGGCACAGCAAACCCGAAGTGAGCTATCACCTACTTTCCAAATCAGATCTAAGTGTCAACTCGGACGTACAATTAACCAAGTAAAGGAAGAAGCTCATCATTACCTTTAGGAGTAGAAAGGAAACTTCATGCTCTTGTATGGTCTGGAATCACTAAGTACTACACCTAAATTGGCTTTATGAATTCAATTTTTGGAATTTTACAATGATCCAACGCAACTATTTCCAACTCTGTAGTTACGAAAGATGACAGGCAAATACCAAATAGTGGCTGTAATTAGTTAATATTCTCTCTGAGTACCCTTTAACACTCTCAATTAAAAAACCCTTGACAGTGGTCGAAAACTCCCGAATAACAAGCGGGTTCAAAAGCAGATCATGTGTGTCAATGTGTGTGTCAAATATTTTGCAACATAGAAAAACATCGATCAACCAAAGAATCAGTGACTAGCAGTAATCAACACCCACAACGAGAGCCAATGTGCATCATCAGCACAAGATGAG